AGTTTTCATTCTAAAAAATACAATTTTCAAACACGTTTCTTTTCAAAACAAAAGATTTCTTCATTTCATTTTAATGAGTTTTATACAAAAAAAAAGCAATGAAGGATTTTTTTATAGAAATTCTTTTGATCTAAATTTCTTGTTTTCGTCCTTTTCTAGAACCAAAATTCAGCAAATGGAAACAAAATGCTATCACTGTGGCTGGTGGAAATGGACAAGGACAACAATTAAGTCAACTCAGTCACCCTTTTGGAATCTTTATTGATGAAAAGAAAAATATTTTCATTGCTGATTGGTGGAATCATCGTATTGTTGAATGGAAATATAATGCCAAAGAAGGAAAAATCATTGCAGGTGGAAATGGACAAGGAAATCGAATGGATCAATTGAATTATCCAACAAATATGATTGTTGATCAACAAAATCATTCGGTCATCATTGCCGATTCTCAGAATAGACGAGTGATTCAATGGTTGAATCAGAAGCAACAAATTCTCATTCACAATATTGACTGTTATGGTTTGGCAATGGATAAACATGGATTTCTTTATGTTTCTGATGCTGGGAAGAATGAAGTGAGACGATGGAAAATAGGAGAATACAACAATGAAGGGATTGTAGTGGCAGGTGGAAATAGAAGAGGAGATTACCTTAATCTACTCAATTTTCCTAGTTTTATCTTTGTTGATGAAGATCAATCTGTTTATATATCAGATAATAACAATAATCGTGTGATGAAATGAAGAAAAGATGCAAAAGAAGGAAGAATTGTGGCTGGAGGAAATGGTGAAGGAGAAAATCTCAATCAATTGTCTAATCCTCAAGGAGTAATTGTTGATCATTTGGGTCAGATCTATGTAGCAGATTGTGGGAATGATAGACTAATTCGTTGGTATGAAAGAAAAGAAGAAGGTGGAATTGTTGTTGGTGGAAATGGTCATGGAAATCAATCAAATCAATTAAATGGTCCCATAGATTTATCGTTTGATGGTGAAGGAAATCTTTATGTTGCTGATATTGGAAATCATCGAATTCAAAAATTTGAAATAATTTTGTGAATGAAATTTTGATTTTGATAAAAAGAAAAAACCCGTTTTATCATTGGAAAGTAATGAAAAAACCAATAAACTTTTGATAAAATAACAAAGAAAAATCTTTTTGGTTTTTTTTTATCAACCTTGAATTTAATCGGTAATTTTCATTAAAAATTCGAATAAATAAATATTAAATTCTTCATCTTTTTTAATTTGAATTGCATTGCAATAAAACTTCTTTGAATAGAAGATTTTGTGTTTTAGGGAATTCTACTTGTATATTTTTATTTGATGAAAATAATCAAATTGTCTAAAGTTGAAGAGAAGAGAAATGTTTTACAAAAATTTGTTAATAAAAATTAAATAAAAATATGATTTGTCAAAATGGAATAAATGAAAAGAAATTTGATTTTGAAATTTGAAAATAAATCAATAAACATCTACATTTAGATGAAAAGCATAAAAAATAATTAGGGAAGAAAAATGAACAAGAGATTGGAATAAAATAAAACATTGATACTAAATATTATGAAATGATCCAAAATTTAAATTTGATTTTTAATATAAAAGAGATTTGTTCTATTTTTCAAAGAAATTAGAGTAACTGTTCCATAATTTCTTTATCAAATTTAATTCATTTCAATTTCAAATGAAAAAATTCAACATTTTCATTATTTTTTATTCTAAATAAAAATTTTCTATGAAAAATGATTTAAATTCAATTTTCTTCTTTTTCATCAAATAAAACCCAAATTATTGATAACTTTCAAATTAACGACGTTTTTTTGTGATAAGATATTTGTTTTTTCATTGACATTTGAGGATGTGAGTATTAGTTTTATTACTATTTGATCTATATTGTCATTTCAACAGTCGCATTTCTCAAGAAAAACGTCTGATTAGAATAATTAAAGAAATGATCGATTAAATAATTCAAAATATTTTTATGAATAATGAAAAAAATGTTCATCATCAGATTTCAATTAATTGAAGTTGATAAACATTTAATACAAAGATTGCGGATTTAAGTGTCCCTTGTCGATCTAATAAGAACTCCGACATCCACACCCACACCCTCGGATAATTGAGAGAAAGAATAAATTTGTATAACATTATATTTACGTTTAGATTTTACAGAATTTTCTTGGATTATTATTTGATAAAATTTTGTTTAGAAAAATAAATCTCTATAATTATTCATTTTAATTTGATAAAACAAATCAACTCTTCTTCAATAGTTTAATTCTTCGTCATAATAAAATATTTGAATTCTTACCGAACGATAGAAAATGCCGTTGTTTTTAAGAAAGTATTCAACATCTCACAATGTCAGTCTCAGTATGATGTTTTCTTCTTCGTTCTCTTCTGCATGTCAATATAGAACAAAAGAAATGATTGATATACTATTTTTACTTCGAACTATGCTAATATGATCATAATTATTCATCATGATGAACAATTTCAAAGGATAATAAAATAATAAGTTTAGTTGATTTTGTTAAATGTGAATCTGACATTACTACTTCTTTAGTTTATGTATTCATTTCTCATAGATTTGATGATATTCATATTGTTGAATAATATTTGATGAAGATTTATTCTGAAGATCAACAACTACACTTTTCGTATCATTTATCTAATGTGTCAAATAAGAATAAAATCAATTATATAACACATTTCTGACAGCATATAATATCTTTCAATTAAATACAAAATAATAAAAATGTTTTGTTGTTGAGGAAGCGTCGTATTTCCTTCGTTAAGGCATGATTTCTGATGTATTCTTAACAAAAATAATATTAAACTTTGTTTTCATCTCCTTCCTACAAACATTTCAATATCATGAACATTTTTCCTATTTACAGCAAATAATGTCTGACATTTTATATCAGTTTTGACAAAGGAAATGAATTCATTGTTTTTCTCTGTTGATAAACTCAAATGTTGTGTTTATTGCAAATATTTCAATAAAAAAAGAAAGTTCCGATTAACATCATTATGTAGGCGAATAGAGAACAAAAAGTAAACTTCATGTTCAATTTTCAGCAATATAGAGAAGAGTTTTTGTTTATCATTCAAGTTAATTATTGAAGAATATAATTACAAAGAAACAGTTTGTTTTATTCAATATTAATTATTAGAAATAAAATGAAGTTCTTCTCATTTTATTTATTTCATAGTTTTGTAATTATATTTAATAGAATCATCCACTATGTTCGACATTACTTAAATTATTAAGTATCAAGAAATGAATTCTCAAATGATATTTTTCACGTTATTTTTACGTATTTGTTTGATTTAAAATAAAAATTATAATAATGAGTGAATGATTTTGATGCTTATTGTATACAAGCGTTTTTATGTAAAACATCATATGTCGATGAAAACAACAAGATCACTTTTCAATAAAATGTTATCTATTGTAAATGTCGAAATCTACGAAGTAGCATGTGAAACTAAACTAGTGGAAACAAGAGTTAATTTCTATAGAAAAATAACATTGAAAATCAGCACTATGTGAAGGAAATGCGACGTTTCCTAAGAGAAAAGAATGTATTTTATTATTTTTCATTCATATAAAAGTCTATAGAGCTAAGCTTTAACTACATCTTTATTTATCAAATTATTGTCGATAAAATATTAATTCAGTAATAGATTCAGACGAGTATAAAATATATTCATGAGAGTGTGGATGAATTAACATCAGGATAAGAATAATACACTCATCTGTTAAATTATCATTCTCATATTCATTCCAAAAAAAAGAACGAATTTCATGGTATTGTACAAGACTTGACGATTGATATAACTGCTGTTTCCTTTGTGTTCACTTTCTCTACATAAATGTTCAATCACAAACTAAGAAACAAGGCAAAAATATAATATCGACAATCACCGCGACAGTCACATCTAAATGTAATTATGCAAAGCATCTACGTATTTTATATGACTATGATTGTAATTAAAAGTGTGATTAAAGTTCTCTCTATTGATTAGTCATATCTAGTAGACTATAACTAAGCGAGGATCAAGTATTAATTATTTTTCTTTTCTTGAATATTCTATTTCGACTTCCAATTAAATCATTTATCTATTCTGGAAATAATTATTGCATGCCATGAAATCAAATTAAAGTCCATTTCTGATCATAAATATTATCTAATTCTCAATTTATTTAGAAGAATCGTTGTGTATAATAAAACATTTCAACGTCACTTTTTTTTCTCTGTGAGGAAATGTTGCATATCCTCTGAACACCGCTGATTTTCAATGTTTTATTAACTAATAATTATATCAAATGTTGTCTCAAACAGTTTCATATTTATAAGAGATAAGAACTATCTGGAAAGAGTTTTTTATTTGAAAATTAAAAGTGAAAAAGGAAATGAGCTGATTGTTTTTATTGATATATGATGTTGTATATTAACACGATGATCTACGTCAGAAAAGAACTGATTATTTCAGAAAGAGAAAGAGGGAGCATGATAAATATTTTTTTTATTATTTTAACAATTTTCTAGTTGAAATTGGAATGAAAAAGTTCTAAGATTAGTCGGTAAGAAATATTAGATATTACATGAAATATAGATCTCAATAATTAACGAGAAACAGAAATGATTTTTTGTAAAAAAAGATATTAAAATAAACAGTTTAGCTTCGTTATAATAATATTATTAATGACTGAAAATTTTTTTTTGTCGATTTTAGATTGTAAAAGTATTAAACTATCAACAAGATATCAACAATGATCAACAACAACAGAATAGGAATTGTTAATAAAGATGTAATTTATTGAGAAAAAGAAAATTCATAAAATATAATATTTATCTTTTTTGATTATTTTAGTCTGAAACAATTACTTCGAATGCAACTCAACCAAAAAAATTGTATGTATCTTATGAATTATAGACAACAATAAAAAAGAATTATTATTCTAGATATGAATATCTGAAAAAAAGAAAAGTGATGTGCATCATAGTTATCATTATTGTACTTGCTATAATCATAACAATTTCAATTGTTATCGTCAAAACAAAAAAGACAAATATCGAAAAAGTATCAACAACTATTGAAACAACTACTGAAACAACAGAAAAAATGGAAATAAAAACAGGTAGTTAAAATGAGATAATTATTTATTTTGAAGTTAATATATGATAAATTATTTCAAATGACCAAAGTAAAGCTTCATTGTTTATCATAACTAGGGATGTACCCAGCCCGAGAGCCTCGGGATTCGGTCAGAATTGGAGCTCGAGACGCAAGGCTCGGGGCTTCGTCAGACTCGCGCTCGGGTGTCAGAACTGATGTGGGTGTGGGTGAGAGTGTAAGTGAGAGTGTGGGTGACAATAGTGAGTGCGAGTGAAGAGGATAGTACCCGCATCCACCACACCCACACCTACACTCTCACCCACACTCACTGCCACATCAATTCTGACACCCGAACCCTGGCCGAGTCCCTAGTCTGCTGATCCCCGAGCATGAACGAGTCCCTAGCGAACCGAGCTCCGACCCCGACCGAGTCCCTAGCCTGTCGAGCCTCGAGCAAGACCGAGTCTCGAGCCTACCGATCCCCGAGCATGACCGAGTCTCGAGCCTAATTGAGTCTCTAGCCTGACAGAGTCCCTAGCCTGTAGAGCCCCGAACAAGACCGAGCCTCGAGACTACCGATCCCCAAGTATGACCGAGTCCCTAGCCTATCGAGCCTGACCGCGTCCCAAGCCTGGCTGAGTCCTTAGCCTACCGAGCCCGAGCAAGACCGAACCTCAAGCCTGCCAAGCCCCAAGCCCCGAGCTCGAACCCGAGAGGCTCAGTCAGGACCGGAGCTCGACACATCCCCAATCATAACAACTTATACATGATACTTCTAAGCAACAATATCAAAAATTGTTCTAAGATTCATAATGGAATTTTTATCATGTAGAAGAAGATTTATTAAGAATAAGTCTTTGAGAAAATCAAATATCAATGATAATTCGACATCTCAGATTTCACTTAATATTTTTTGTATGTTATAGATAGTAGTAACATTAATATTAGCTGAGATTTCTAGTTCGATTGTATTACTCCTTCTTATTTCTGAGAGATATCGAGTTTCCTAATAAATTAAATTAAAGAACAAAACATCTAACTGAAGCCATCGCCCGAAAGCAAACCTTTTTGAGTCGAACTGTTGGTTTTGAGGCTTATTTTTCGAATTCCACGTTGAAAATATCCTACTAAACGAAATTTCTGTGGGATTTAAAATGGCTCTATTCAAACTAAAGAATCAATACTACCAAATATTGCAAAAATAACAAAAAAAATAGACATTGATGTCTTTCAAAAAGATTTTGATCGATATTGTGTATAAATTTGCAGAGCATTGCCCAAGATCTTAGACAATAAGTAAGAAATGAAGCTATTCTGGCAGCTCTGATTACGACTCAATGATTTTATGTTGAAGTTTTTCTCTGTACGTCAAAGAATCTCTTAACAGTATAACTAACTGCATTGCAATAATCAATAGTTTTGAAAAGCAAGCGATGAAGTAGACCGACATGAGTTGATTCCTTTTTATGATAGTTTCACATAAACTGTTAGCTTTGACCGTTGAATTAAGATACGTTTCTGGTCGAAATGTCATCTTAAATGAAAATGAAATATTTCAAGAACAGTAGAAGTATACAAATGTTACATTATTAAACTTATAAAAAATGTAAAATGAGTTGTCAAAACTATTATAGCAGAGATGTGCTTAAAGTAAAGATCATAGAATTGCAATTATAATGTAAGGCATATAAAGATTTTCTACGTTATTATAATGCACTAATAGTCACGGTCGATAGATTGTAAGAGAAGAAGGAGACAAAAGAAATAAGGAATAAAGCCTTATTCAATTATTAAGTTTCTTTCTAAACTCATTTTTGTAATCTAGTATCACCTACTACATCAACTTCAACAACAACGTCAGACACAACGTTACCAACATCATCAACATCAACAACAACGTCAACAACAACATCAACGTCATCAACAACAACGTCAACAACAACATCAACGTCATCAACAACAACGTCATCAACAACGTTATCAACGACAACCGCGTCAGGTTAGTAGTAGGCTGGATGATTTGTAATAGCCTAAACGATGAAAACTACAGGTAACCAAATCTAAAAGTTTTGATTTTAGCTGTCCGATTCTTCTCATTTAGATATAGAACATTAGAGAGCTTTCTATGAGAGCTGCAAACAGGCTCAGTTTTTGATGACTTAATTTTATCTATGCTAGTCGATTGCGATGATACTATACGAATATATTGTTGATAAAAAGAATCTCACATGGCAGAATTCAGTGATCGCTTCAGAAACTCCTTATGACATGGGGAAAAGTTGATAAAGATAGATACTATGACTGAATAAAGCCACATAACGTCATTGCTTGTAAATATTCATCCAAATGAAAAGAGATGCGCCTTCTATCTGACCCCAAGGTTATGAGTACTATCGTACATCAACCAGATTATGTAAGAAATGTAATATTTATTGAGTCATTTTTGAAGACTTATGTCCAGTGCTATTTGTAGCCATCACTATTTCTCGTAGTACACTGTCCGCACGAGTCTATTACAAGAACCATCTCTATCAATTACTCACATTAAAGTTTAGGCAAACTCGCATATTAAACATTTCTAGCTGATCATAGTTGGTTATTTGAAAGCAGAAGTGAATCCAAGAAAAATCCTCTTTTATAACTGAAACAGTAGGTTTTAATCTATATTTATTCTTGGTATGGTCAGTTTTAATCTGATTTATCGGTATGATTGTACACGTAGAAGTACCAATTGATATGAACACTTAATCTCATGTTTCAGGTAGCATTTATATAGAATGGACGTGTTCAAAAGAAATTGTAGTTGGATAAAATACTAACTTAACACTCGAGAAACACATCTTGCATAAACATCAACATTTGACCACTGATACATCGATTTTTTCATGAGAATGATGTGAGCATGATATTCTTTCATGCACAGTCACATCCATTCCAGCGGCGAAGCCCGGATGTTGAGCTGGGGGAGGGGAGGGCTCAGTCCCCATAACCGTTTCGGTTCATCTTAAGAAGCATAATTTTTTTACGCAACCAGTACAAAATGTTTTTTCACTTTTTCACACTAGGTTGAATAGAGCTCGTCGAGTTGAGTAAGCATTGGTCAGTTTTTATATTTTTTCCAAAGTGCTGAAAGACTCATTTTATTGAAAAAAAAGATTAAAAAAACTCATCTTTTAATGTTTTTTTTCAATTTTAGAGGGCTTTTACATTTCTTCGGACTATGAAAATAATATATTTAGATTTATCGTGAAAAACTACATCGATTTGACTTTTTTTTAGACGGTTTTTTGATATTTTTTAGTGAAAATATGTTTGTAAAATGAAGGGATTCAAAAATGAAAAAAAAGACATTAAAAGATGAGTTTTTTTCTAATATTTTTTTCAAGAAAATGGATTTTTCAACACAAACCTTTCGAGAAAAATATAAAAACTGATATCTTCTTATTCAGCTCGACGAGCTCTATTCAACCATGTGTGAAAAAGCAAAAAAACACTTGCTTTAATTTGGCGTTGTTTGCACCTCACGTTATCCAATGAGTGAAATATGAAACTAAGAAATCTCTAGAATCTAGCTGAAGCTTATATTAAATGTGTTTTTATTTGCTTAAAAAGTACATATGATTTTCACACAATAAGTTATATCTCATAGAGTATTCCACTACAAAGAATAATAAGATTTTGTATCAGAAAAATATATTTTTCGGAATCTTGCTAGGGGGGAGGTGGTTGAGTGTCCTCCTCCCCGTCTCTCCCCAGCTCCGCCATTGATTTCATTTACAATTCAACTTCAACAAAAAAAAACAAACTCAAAGTTTCATTGAAAACTAATCTTTTCTTTTTTTTCGTCGATAAAAATCATTTTTCCTCTCCTTCTACTTTTCATCAAAATCTTTCGTTTTCATTCTTTTCTAGAATCAAAATTTAACAAATGGAAACAAAATGCCATCACTGTGGCTGGTGGAAATGGACGTGGACAAGAATTAAATCAATTCAATTTCCCTCTTCAAATCTTTATTGATAAAAACAAAAATATTTTCATCGCTGATTCGACAAATCATCGTATAGTTGAATGGAAATATAATGCAAAGGAAGGGCAAATCATCGCAGGTGAAAATGGACAAGGAAATCAAATGGATCAATTGAGTGATCCATCAAATATAATTGTTGATCAACAAATTCATTCCATTATCATTGCTGATTGGGGGAACAGACGAGTGATTCAATGGTTGAATCAAAAGCAACAGATTCTCATTGCGAATATTAACTGTTGGGGCTTGGCAATGGATAAATATGGATTCCTTTATGTTTCTGATTATGCGAAGAATGAAGTGAGACGATGGAAAATGGGAGAATACAACAACAAAGGAATTGTAGTGGCAGGTGGAAATGGAAATGGAGATGAACTCAATCAACTCGATACTCCTACTTTTCTCTTTGTTGATGAAGAGCAATCTGTTTATGTATCAGATAGGGATAATCGTCGTGTGATGAAATGGAGAAAAGATGCAAAAGAAGGAATAGTTGTGGCAGGAGGAAATGATGAAGAATGGGATCTTAATCAATTGTCTAGACCTCATGGAGTAATTGTTGATGATTTGGGTCAAATCTATGTGGCAGATTATGGGAATAATCGAGTAATTCGTTGGTGTGAAGGAAAAGAAGAAGGTGAAGTTGTTGTTGGTGGAAATAGAATAGGAAATCAATCAAATCAATTGAATGGTCCCACAGATTTATCGTTTGATGATGAAGGAAATCTTTATGTTGATGATTATAATAATCATCGAATTCAAAAATATGAAAAAATTTGAAACTCAAAATATGCTTAATTTCGTTTGATAAAACTTCGATTTATATTTTTAAAAATAAATGAGAAACATTAATTTATGAAAACTCTTGAAGAAAATAAATTTGTTTTTTATTTTTAGAAATAAAGTAAATAAAAATTTGTTAATTTTAATTTGAAATTAAAAAAATGAAAATGAATAAAACAACTGACATAGAATTTTTGGTGAATGAATCAAATTAAAAGAGTTTCAAAGAAAATTTTATTTTTTATAGAAAAATCAAATAAAATATTTTTCAAATTGAGAAAAACATTTAAATTAAGAAAAAAAACTTCGAAATAGAAATTTTATTGGTTCTATTGAGAGAAAGAGAAGAAAAATGATAAATGAATAAGAATGAAATCTATCAAAATCGAAAAATTAGATGAAGAAAATGTATTTTTTAAAAGAAAAAATATTCGATGAGAATAAAATTCTAAAATGACGTTTACATTTAAATATTAAAAATAAAATAAAAATAAACAAAAGATCAAATTTGTTATATTTGAATATATTCAGAAGAGAGTGTGGATGTAGGCGTAGATCCGAATATGTGGTTTAAATGAAAATCATATCAACACCCACACCCTTACCTTAATTATCGTTAATAATCCGTTCATATCTAAAATGATACACGTACACCGATAAATATCGCATTGATTTGACGTGATCCGAAGATTGCCCGGAAGAACTAGGAAAAATAGAATTTATTCCGAAAATGTGAAACATCAACTGGTTTTAAAGCAGCATTTTTATGTATTATTTTTCTGTTGATTTTTTATAGATCAGTTTTTATATGTCTTGAGTCCCAGTTCCATCATTTTAAAATAAAACTTGTCGTTGATAGGTCTCAATTAAATAATTATTCATCAGTTCTTGTGATTTAATTACAGTTTGTAATTTTTCAACCAACTTTTCATTTACATCAAATATGCACATTGAAAATCAATGACATGTTGTTTGATTCGTTCGTGTTAATAGATATCGAAACGTCTGCACAAGATAGTTTTCAAATATAACAAAAATGAGATATTATAATTCACAGCAAAGATGTGATAGAACTGTTTTTTAATGTTTGAGAATGAGTTTTGAATTGTTAACGAATTCCATTCATTATTGATAATTACCCTCGTCATTATAACTAAAAGCTAATGTACGTTTTTTTGATAACGGTATTGACATTTATTTCATATATAATCCTATTTTAATCAATTTTTGAGCATTATGCACAGATGAAAAGGTTTTAGTTATCAAGGATCGTACTATTTCATAATTTATGCTTTAAACTGGTGACTTTATCAAACAGTAAGTTAATCCAAAAAAATCAGATTAATTTACTCTATAGACGATAGAAGTAATGAAAAATATGGAAGAAAATGCATTCTACATCGGTCATCCGGTCAAATAATATGTTCATTATGAATGCATCTATCAAATCAAGCGCCCTCTTCTTTTCTTTTATATCATTGTATTAGCATCCATGTTGCTTCATTTTGATTATCGAAACATCATATTCAACTAAAAACATTCTGATGTATAATACAATTATGCTCAGACGAATTCATGGAAGACCATCGGGCGACGACGAAGTTAATATCTGCTGTTTTTTGGCTTTTATTCTTTCTTTTGTCGATTTAATTCCATTTTTTTATCTATTTGGTCAATTTGAATTGCGTTTAAACGAATCACCTCTTTCTGTAAATTTCAATTCTCAAAATAATCAAACACAAAAACAACCTCAAACATGGTCTAGAATCTTTGCTAAATGCTCATATCGACAAAACTCTAGAGGAAACTATTCAATCGTTTGTCATACAGATGTTGAATCAGTATCAATCGTATTTTTGACTGCAGCCCTTGTTCTTGCTGTCGTTCTTATTTTGTTCAGTATAAGTACTACGCTTCGAAAACTCACACGAAAGGAGCTCATTATTCGAACCGTTATGCATATGATATACGCCATTATACTTTTTACAACAGCACTTATTTATACTCTGAGACGATCTCCGTGCTCCAACTGCCAAACATTTCTTTATATTTGTATTATCCCCATTCCAACAACAATATGTTTGGCTTGCAATTTGTATGACTGTGATGAAGAAGGTCATCTACATCGACGACAATCTATAGAAAATCAATCATTTCAACTAACACGTTATGTTTAATAGTTTACCATACAGTCCTGGAAGAATAGTTTCTTATCAACAGCAGCAATCATCATTATCAATTCTTCGTCATCCTCCAGAAAATAATACTGATCCTCAATTAGAGAATGAATGCAATGAATGGTTAGAAACTCAATAACGTCAAAACTAGTGAATTTGTCATTCCATATAGTCATATTTTGTTATTTGTATATTGCAATAAAATTAATAAAACTTTCTTTCAATTAAAATAGACATGCTACATTACTTGCAGTTTTCATCTGTACTACACGTGAAACAGGTGTGTTTTTAAAATATTCTAAAATGAATTGGAATCGAGAAACATATCAGCGAATTTGATTCATAATCATTTTGTGTACTCTAATTTTCTTTATTCCTACAAAGTTCATCACTAGTTGTCATATTTATTGATTTAACATTAATTTACAAATACATAATATCTACTTCAATTGTATATAGACGAGATTTAATTTGTCATTTTCCAAGATCTATATGTCACTAGAATAGAAAACTTTTAAGTAATATTTTTTAGAACCAGTACTGTAATCGCAAATGGAATATCATTAGTACTAATCTATTAGCAAATGATTGTACAAAATGAAGCAACATATTCCAGTATTTATTTACGAATTGGATGTTTATCTAAGTTTATGTTACATAGAGCAGAGACAACTTCTGTGACTTACATCATTCTCTAGGTGATGTAAACAATTTATTTTAGACTCATAATTAGTAAATTTCTGAGATTTATTATAAATTTTGTCTTCCATTTTAATTCAAAAATAAATTAACATTTCGAGAGATCTTTAAATTATATTTAAAAAACGTCACGTTTGTTTTTCATTTTCTAAAATGCCTGAAAATTAATTTGAAGAAAAAAAATCTTTTATGTTGCTTTTAATGTATTGCGTATGTTCTTTTGAATTATTTATCACTATAATAAACTAGAGATGGTATGTAAAGATTTGAATTAATATTTCAATGAAATTAACTTTATTCTAGTTTTTATTTTTCTTTTGAGCATATTTTGAATTTTACACTAATGAACATTCTATTTGCATATAGAATTTTTTCTATATGAGATAATAAAAATAAATGGAAATGAAGTTAATCCCTGACGAGAACGTTCGTATTTTTGCCGTATGCGTGTACTACTTAATTTGGACTATTTTTTTTAATCAAATAGTTTATCAAAATTATTCAATTCTAACAAATTATGTGAACTTATCAAAAGATTTCATCTTTCCTCATTGATGGTGTGGACATAGATATTGAAGAAGGTTTACAGCCACATTCATATCCATAAAAACACTGAACCCTGCGCACCTTTTCAGTTGGTGAATCTCCCTCGAAAATTGCACTACTCGATGCAGGACCTAATTCGACATCTATCACAACTACTTTTAGTCGGATTATAAGTTTCAAACCGGCTGATAACTTTCACTACGTAATTGTATAGAAATTATCTTATTTTCTATTATTTCTCGTTAACATATATATTTATGTAAATCTAAGATAAGTTGGATATCCGTATTTTGTTTAACTCATCTATGTCATTCATGAACTTACTCTAAGGTCTTTTAATGACCGAGGTGTTTCAATGACCATAGATTCCAAATCTGATGAATAATATCAAAACAATTAAATATTGTGAGTAGCTACACTGCAAAACGAAGAAAACATTTGAAAGGCTAAGTAAAGTTATCGTATCAATTGTAAGTTTTGTTGATCATAATAAACTGATAGATCAGAGTAGAAAAACAAAGATATTTATTTTAGTTTGGGATGGAATATTAAAGTAAATGATAATTCAGTAAAAATGTGGAAGGAAACAATTAGTGAACGACACAAGCTGACATTTTTTCTAACTAAAGTATTGTTTGGAATTCGCATTACTTGCAAGAAAAAGAATAAAATAATTAATATAATTCTGCATTATTTATAGCATTAGTACCATTCCAACCACCAGTAACTAATACTTTTCCACTTGATAATACAGATGCTGTGTGAAATTGTCGTACATTAGTCATGTAACTAGTAGTTGTCCAAGTACCTATTGATGGATCAAACAGCTCAGTACTATTTAAAACAATATTACCATTCCATCCACCAGTAACTAACACTTTTCCATTTGATAATAAAGATGCTGTGTGCCAGTATCGTGTAGCAACCATGTTGCTAGTAGTTGTCCAAGTGCCTGTTGATGGATCATACAGTTCAGCACTATTCAAAGCACCACTAATACCAGCTCCACCAGTAACTAATATTTTTCCATTTGATAATGCACATGCTGTATGCTCAGTTCTTGCATTACTCATGTTACTAGTAGTTGTCCAAATACCTGTTGATGGATCATACAATTCAGCACTATTTAAAAAACCATTATAATTCTCTCCACCAATAACTAATACTTTTCCATTTGATAATACAGATACTGTATGCCATCGTCGTGCATTATTCATGTTACCAGTATTTGTCCAAATACCTGTTAATGGATCATATAATTCAGCACTATTTAAAATAGTATTCGTATTATCTCCACCAGTAACTAATATTTTTCCACTTGATAATGTAGATGCTGTGTGAAAAGCTCGTTCAGTAATCATATTACCAATAGTTGTCCAAGTGCCTGTTAATGGATCATACAGCTCAACATTATTTAAATAACCGTTACCATATCCACCACTAACTAATACTTTTCCATTTGATAATATAGATGCTGTGTGAGAACCCCGTGCATTAGTCATGTTACTAGTAGTTGTCCAAGTACCTGTTGATAGATCATAGGATTCAGCACTATTTAAATAACCATTGGCTGAACCACCAGTAACTAATACTTTTCCATTAGATAAGACAGATGCTGTGTGCCAATATCGTGCATTACTTACATTGTTAGTAAAAAACCATCCTAGAAGTTATATTTTTATATATTTAGACAATACAGTATTAGATCGTCAAACAATCAACAATCATTATTCTTCTATAGTATTTTTTATTATTTTGAAAACTATAGTCTTTGATATCTCTGTTTTATATTACCTGCAACTTCGGCAGACAGAGAATAGTAGTCAAATGAATTGCACAAGATCTTTTCATATATCGTTATTACATCTTCATTTTTCTATATTTTCTATTTCTTCTGTTATCTTAATCAAATATATAAAGGATGTTTTTCGATTCTCTATAAATTTTCTAAGCTATGCTTGAAAGATGTTCAATGGAATGGAAAATATGAAGTTTGCATCAACTCTTCTATGGTTCTCTAGAACTCACAATCAAAACAATGGTAATCAGTATTATTGCTTAATCATATCTAACATAACTAGAAATTAATATTACTAGGACAACGATGGTAACAGAAGAAATAGAAATAACTACGAATATGAATTAATCAAGTAAAATATCGATTTTACTTGAGATGATCTATCATAACAATGCATTACTATGAAACTTTAATCGCTTATCCTACCAACAAAGTGATATATGAGATTATATTAATGTGTCAGTCACTGACTAAACGGAAAAATTCAGCATAGTTCAGTTCTTCATCTCTTTGTCGTTCCTCGTTTTAATTAACAATAGATATCACAAATCTATATTTCTCTATCTATTATATTAGTTTTCACTACAAGAAAAGTATCACTCGACAGAAATTTTATACAAATGAAGGATACTTTATCTATAACTATGACTAAAATGTGAATAATATGTACTAGTACCTGTTTTGCACATGTATGCTGCTAATAATGGTAAACATACTGCTTGTGATGAACAACATGAATTAATAACGCACACTGAATTATTTGATGAACATGTTTGTGTAATATTATCACATCTTTCTAATATTGAACATAAAATACCCGGTGCACAATAACTAATATTATTTATTGTTCGATAGTCAAAACAAGATGTTGATGATGAAAGACAATTATTGTTACCATTCAAGCTTGTATTACATTGTTGTAAAGAACAATTTGATGTTGGATTCGAAGCTGAATGAGATGATGAAGACAATGTAAACTGAATCGAAACATTATTTTCACTACAAGAATAATCAGGTAGTTGTGTCGTTTGTCCTATAGAATTCAATTATATTATGATAGAATCAAATGAAAAAAGATAATCTAACAAACCTTTTACAGATGAAATGGACATGATGAGAAATAGGACGATGATAGACCGCATTATTTTTTATGTGATCGAAGAAAACAACAAAGTATGCACAACAATGACTGATTTTCCTTTACTCCTTTTTCCTCATTACTTCTTACATTTCTCTTTTAGGTGGAAGAGCATAAAACTGTTTTTCTCAACACTTGTTTGTTTTCTTGAAATCAGAAATAAATTTCTCTTTTTTTTATTTATTCATTCAAATTTATTCAAATATTTATTTTCTATGTCTACCATTTTCATTTCATTAAAGACTCTTCGCTTCTCTTGTTTCATAGTAACTAAAATCATGACGTTTTTTCATTCGATATATAAAGTACCTGATCAGTTATATGAAATTGTTTTATTGACAAAAGTAAAATAAAACATCACTTGAACAGATTCATGTTTATTTGTTAATTTCTCTATAGGAATTCATTCATTACGCACAACTCTTTGAAGGTAAATAAGAAATCCGGTTATCATTTTTAATACTCTTTTAATTACTTTAAATCCTTATTTTTCATGTAACTGTTCGTTTTTGAAAATCATTTTTCTTGCCTGGAGTAAAAAATACATTGAATAAAATTACAAAATATGAGATTAATTTAGCTAATGGTAGTAATTGAAGTTTCTAGAAAAGGAATTTGTTGATTGTTTATTTTTAGACTTATTGTCATAGAAAAACAAAGAATAGTTTTTTATCTTTATATTTGGAAACTAAAATCTGAAAAAGACAATATAAATAACAAAGAAAGATATATAAATGATTTATTGAAAAAGAGAGATGATTATTTGTTGTAAACGCTGTTTAAAATGTTTTCGTTATAAAAAAGCGATGAATGGAATCTATGATCTTGTTCATACCAATTATGACACTTGAAGATTATATTTCGATTAAACATATGATAAAATAAAAGAATATAATTTTGTATGTGCCATATGTATATGAAATCGAATACCATTTGAATAATTAACTAGTGGTGTTAAATCTCCCGAATAAGTTTCATTTTGTCTACGCCATTGTAGCAATTGTCGAATTCCATTTTGATGTAATGTTTTACATTCATCAAATGTATATCCTTCAATTGGATTGTTTGTTAAACCATCTTCAAACTGAATAGCAAAAAAACCTGCTGTTGATGTATCAGCATTGATATACATTTGTAATTGTTGATTTCTATTCTTCTTCTTATTATTAGGTAATGATAAAACTTTGGAAATAAACCAACCATAACCTGTTGGATTTGATGATAATGTTGAAAGAGAAACATAACCTTCTCGACGTAAACGTGCTTTAAATATTCCAGTAAATGCACCTGGCCAATATTGACTTAAATATGCTCCACCACCAGCATGTGTTGTTTGTGAACCCCAATAAATATGATACATCCATGGTGAAAGTATGTCAACATCAGATCGAATAAAATCAGGATCCATCAAACCATTTGATGATGAAAAAACAAATCCAGCATCACGATCACTTCCAGTACCATTAACTAATTTTGTTTTTGAATCAATTATACCAATTCCACGTGAAATAAATGGATCTCTTGTTAGAAAAGTAAAAGGACCCTGTGGAATACGACTAAGAGCTAATCGAATATCCATAACTCCATCATTTTGAGCTGCACGTGGAATTGGTGCACCAGAATTTATTTCTGTCCAATGAAGATAACCAGAAGAAAAAAGAAAATAAATATTATGATAAAATAAAGTCGCTGGATTATAATTATCAAAACATTGAATTGGATCTGGTGTACCGAGAGGAAATGCTTCAACAGATTTTGACCATGGACCATGTACACTTTCATTAGATAAAGTAACAACAACTTTTCTATAACTAGGCAAAGCACCAGGACAATAAACACTTGTATTTGATACAGCAGAATTTAATCGACCATATAAAATATATTGACCACCATTATTTGGAGAATATAACATAACTGTTTGTGTATCAGATAAATCAGCTGTTGGATGAGCTGGTTCAATACCTTTTGTCCAAATAAATCCATCAGGTGATGTACCAATATATACATAACGTTTAGATGTATGTTCATATGTCATTTTGAAGATTTCTGAACGAGATATTCCTGGACGTTGATCAATAAAAACAGAACCAAAAAATTCATTGACGTCAGTCATAAATACAATATTAGTAAGACGAGGTGGTTCGCTCCCATTTCCTCTATAAGGATAATATGATAATAACGGTTTTTCCCAATGAATTCCATCAGTACTATTAGAAATACATACAGATACATTATTATTAAATAAAATATCATATGATGAAGCACATGCATAATATAAGAGATACATTGGTTTTCTTGCAAGAGATAAATCAGCTGGAACTTGTAAAAAACTTGTATAGAAATGAATTGCATTTTCCCATGGATATTCAGGATAAATTAATGGATGATCAAGATCTTTTTCGATTTTACCGTTTTGAAATTCTAATGAAGATGAATTTTCAATATATTGATTATCCACTAATAAATGTACTCCAATATTTAATGTAAAAATTTCAGATGATTTTATAAAATTAATTTGAATTAATAAATAAATTAAATATTGAATATTCTTCATGAATAAGTTAAATAATAAAATGATGTTTTAATAAAAACCAAAAAGAATGTTCTTTTTAATGATAAGATAAGATTAAAAGAAAAAAAAATTTTTTTTTTTGATATGTAAGATGCATGCAACACAAAATTACAGCAGGAAAAAAAGGTTTTTTGTTGCTGAAGAAATGATGTTTCAATTTACTATCTAACTATTTCTTTCTTTAATCGTATATATATCTTAATAAATTTTCTTCTAATAAAAAGATCATGTGTGTTATAGACGACATCTATGTTTTTTTTCTTTATACACATGTATATCTTCTTCTTGAGGATGTGGGTGGTTGGGTGTAGTTCGATAAAAGGATGAAGTATATACATCTACACCCACACTCTCAAGATGAGTTTTTTGAAACTCCTGAGAGGTCCTATAAGATTACATGGTATTTTAGCACTGATCTGTTATGATTATTATACGTACTGGTATCAGTTTAAGACCATCTTTGGAATTGACACAAACATTTCATTGTAATAAACATTTTTTCATGAGTATGTCTTACTCTTATAGTTTACATTTGCTTGTTTATTGTTTCGAAAAAGAGCAATTTATTTAGCAGCATTTTACAAATATATTAGTTTTATTTCTACGTATTAAGCATTAGAACCAAACAACAATTTTAGATTCAAACTTCACTAATTTTTGTATTGATCGACGCATAAGCAAATCGCCGTATGAAATCATGAGCGAACAAAAACACAATTCACAAGTGCTTCTACTGGATACGTATCAGCGACAAACTGCAGTAAGCAATTTGCACTCACATCAGTCTTTCTTGAAATTTTCTTTTTTTTAATGCCTATTAGATCACGAAAAAATAATACTTTGTTGCGACAGTTTTATAATTGTTGCGCAATTTCCAGTAAAATATGTGACGAGTGATCGATTAGTTTGCGTATGAAGAAAAATAGAAATCATGCACGTAGCTAATTACTGTCCATCAAAAAAAAAATATCTTTCGATTCGAAAAGTAATTTCTTTCATTAATAAAAAACAAATAACTTTCGATTAGAAAAATAATTACTTGCAATCATAAAAAAATTTATCTTTCGATTAAAAACATAATTACTGTTAATCATAAACAAAATATTTTTCGATTAGAAAAATAATTACACTCAATCATAAAAAAATTATCTTTCGATTAGAAACAAAATTACTGTCAATTATAAAAACAAATATCTTTCGATTAGAAAAATAAAAACTAGTTAATGAACTGTATCCAAAATATCCTGATAAAAAATAACAACAACACAGAAAATAAAATTTTAATTTTCTAATATGAGGATTTTATCTATAAACCATATCGGTACGAGAGACAAATTGTTAAATTGTGAATTTGAAAATAATTTATACAGAATAAGAAAAGATATTCTAAGAGTGCCCATATCTATTGATAGATGCAGTTCTATTTTCTTAACAATACGATATTAAAAGAATGGAAATAATAAATTTGATTTTTTAATTAGACAGTCAAATGTACATTGATATGAGCACTTGTAAAAATTCAGATTTTATTGAGCGATTCCATCATTTTCTAAAAATCTGAGAATTCACGAAGATTTTCTCTTTACAAAAGGAAATACGTCCAACAAAATAAATAATTAGTTTTGACTTTAATTCTAGTTTAAATAAATTAATCAACATGAAATGCATGAATGCATCAAATAAAATATAAGATTTTGAAAAGTTAAATCTGGGCAAAGTTCAAGTCTTATGTGCCAAGTTCTTTCGCCAGCTTCTTTTCCCCCAAAAATATTGTGCCGCATGTATGTTTTAACTAAGTTGAATTTTCTGACTCTTACATAGTCTTTTCATAGAATTTCATTTTGGCATATGTTGAAAAAAGCGGGTGCTAATCCTATAAAATTCAAATTTGAGCATCTGAAAGAAACATTATGCATACACTTTTCTAGAAATAGAAACATACAAAATTTCTGTATTTTGATCGAAGGTCTTAGCTTTGAATAGTGTTTTTTCAAGGTTCTTCATATAAACCAAAACTTCGTGTATCTATCGACCGATTTTCTAAATAAAATAAAAAGGAGATATGAAAAATTTATCTGAAAGAGAGTTTTCGGACAGCGTATATATGTTCGATTGTAATTGTCGAAAATATTAATGCTTCAAATGTATTTTTTGCGCCATTCTAACGCGCAAATCGTTTCTGCGCATTGACCTAAAACGCTGATTAGTTCGAAAATATGCGCAAAAGCTTGACTAATGAGCGATAACGCCGTGATGAAATGACGAAAACGAAATGTAAATGGTAAGCAAGAACAGTAAAAACGAAAATTAAAAAATACGAAAAAGAGATGCGGAGGAGCTACTGATATATAATCAACGAATATTACTAATGTTTTCACATTAAAAATCTAGCTTTATATACGCAACAAAAAAGGTAAGCAGTGTTTTTATCCGATATTATTAACTGTTTGCGCGTATCATAAACGAATAAGTTGTTGATATTGCCACAAAAATAGCGACAAGTTATATTATATCTGAGTGACCATATAATCAATTGGGAAAATATAAAATTTAAATATAGTCCGAAATTAAAGAGAGTTCATATTCAACTTGGTGTTTTCGATGTTAGATAATTTCATTATAAATCATAAATAAAGTAGTCAATCGTAGATAAACTTCTTAATTTTTTAAATGGATAACGTCAACGACTAACAGTAGTATTTTGAGAGGATATAAATGGACATGTCACAAGTATGACGGTTCACTTTGTTTTTATCTAACAAAACATTTCATTTAGTTTCACATATTATGCCTCGAGATCGAGTCAGTTGTTTAGGCTGAGCTTGGCCAAATAATAGTTAGAAAGATTTCTTACTTACGTAAATTAATTCACAAGAAATTTAGTTATATTGCGACTGGAAAGAACTGCATAGATAGAATAAAATTATTTGAATCATCCAATTCTTATGGATAACTTTCTTGGATGAAATATTTATTTATTAACAGGTTCAGCAACAAAAATATAAGACATAAATCAGAATTCTTCGTCAGTGCTTACTCACTGATATATATATATATTCATTGAACGGAAAACACAGTTTTCTAGTCATAAACGACATCTGTTTGAATTAATATAGAAGTTGATGTCGAAGATCGGATTGGGTAGCTGAAGTAAATCACAGGTCCATCCAATCTATTGGGCTGATTTAATGAGGTCCATCTGTTCCGGAAGGTAGTGCTCTTTCACTAGGCCCAGGCTAGATCATTCCGAGGTATGAGGGTGGGTGTGGGTTAGTGTTGAATAGCAGTGTATGTGAAGCAGTATTGTTTAGTCAACTGAATGTGAAAAAATTGTACAATTTATTGATATAGTTTTCTTCTTTATTTAAAGGAAATATAATTCAAAGTAGCGTTTATCAATTGCAGCAGTCAAATGAAGGCTAATTCATGGACGATATTACTCGTCATAGTCTGTGGAATTATGTTTCTGTGGTTTTTCGGAGGAACGATTGTTCTCTCTCTCATTCCTGTATATCTTCCAAACAAAGCAGTCGATGTTCATGTGGATACATGTATCTATCATTCTTATCTTATTTCTCAAATAATGCTTTTTTTTATTTAAGTTTCACAACTTTTTGAATTCGATTTTACGACAGGCGTGTTGGATTCGTCAGTTTATAATGCAATGGATTTAGATGCATTAAGTAATCAGGCAAGTTGTTTCCGTCTCATTCTATCGTAATTTTATATATTTTTTTTAAAACTTTTAGTTCAACAATGCATTGCCTGCTAGTAAGATCAATGTTTTAATCGCTGAGTTTGCTTCACAAATGAACACGAACAGAAAGAAGCGAGAGTAAGTGCATCAGTTGATTTTTCATGTATTTATATTGATATTATTGTAGAACAAGTACGTGCAATGGTGAAAACAATGATGGAGGAGATTTGTTCACAATTCAACTATCGGCTGGTAATTCTAAAATATGTACCACATCAAGATGTCGACAAATTGCCACCGACAAACTTATGTCACAGATTAAGACAATATTTCAATCATTGACAATACCAGCTACACTAACAAATGGTACAACAACTTCTATTTCATTGACAATGTGTTCGGCAACAACAATCACTCGTGCACAGCTAAAATCAGGTACGTTTTCATCCAGTTACAGAGGTTTCTAATTCTCTTTCTATGGTAGCACAATTCTCTTTTCGTCGACAAATTAAAATTCAAAATAGATATTTGCAGAATAAATCGAGTTATATTTTTCATTCGTCTATTATAAATATATTTATTTATACTAATTTGAATCCATAGAAAACCAAACTTATAAGATTCCCTTTTATTTTTGAAATTTTCTAACAATGACGATTAGCCAAGTTAAATCCAAATAGTGATTTGGAAAGCCCTATAAATTATCTGTCAGATACAGTATAGGATAGATTAAAATAAACTTTCTTCAGAAAAATTTTCAGAATAATCGTGCCACCTCAAAATTGAATTTTTGTAAAGTTCGACAGAAGTACTTCGAAACGAACGTGTCTGAAAGTCTGGAAAAAAGTATATATGAATCACAGTTGAGTATATTTCTATAAAACGATCATCGTTAAAAAGTGGATGTTTTCTTCCTTGCTTGCATGCTATCAAGAAAACCATAACATATAATATAATCAAAACTGAAATGATTTTCAGTAATAGTCATACTAAGTTTCCTTTAAGAAAAGGGGCAGCGAATCCAAAGGATGAGCGTTACTAGTTAAATAGTATATGCCTCAAAGTGTAAATTTATATTTATTTTTTAGCACCATCGTGTTCTGATGGAAATAAAAATCAAGATGAAACAAGTATTGATTGCGGTGGCACTATATGTGCAGCTCGATGTGGTTTGAGTCAAGCTTGCACAGCTAACTCGGACTGTGCAAATGGAAACTGCCATCAAACACTGAAAATGTGTCAAGGTAACTTCAAACATTTCCTCTAGATTATAGACCTTCTTCCTTGATAAAGAGAGACAATACCGACATACCTAATGTTAAAACGGAAAAAATTAATGATTTTAATCAGCTTTCTTCGGCTATTTAGTTCTTATTGATATTGATTGAGTTTTTTATTTTAATCTTTGTTACAGATGGGAACAAAATTTATATAGATTTAAACATTAGCAGTAGTCTAATTTTTGAATCTGCAGTCCATTCATATTTCGTTTTAATATTATTCCATGAGCATTTTTTTATTTGTCGATTATCTCAAATTCTCCTTGCATAATTTATACTTTGCACTGTAAATTTATTTTTATTTTTTAGCGTCATCGTGTTCTGATGGAAATCAAAATCAGGACGAAAGTGGTTCTGATTGTGGTGGTATTGTATGTACAGCTCGATGTGGTTTAAATCAAACTTGTGCCAAGAATGCAGATTGTACAAATGGAAACTGTCATCAAACAAAACAAACATGTCAAGGTAATCGAAAAAGATACGATTTCTGCGCAATGCTTGTATTTTCGTTAGAATCAGTGAAATCTTTAAAATTATACTTTCGTTCGAATAAAAACATACATTAATGTTTATTTTTCAGAGCCATCTTGCACTGATGGAAATAAGAATCAAGATGAAGTTAATATTGATTGTGGTGGTGCAACTTGCTCAAATCGATGTGGCATAAATCAAGCTTGCTTAGTTAATTCGGATTGTATGAACAACAACTGTTACATATCATTGAAGCTATGTCAAGGTAAATATAGATTTCATTTCAGTCTTCTGTATATCAAAATAGTTACTTCAATTATTTTTCTGGAGAAAACTTACATGGATATTTGTGCAGGTAGTTGATCATTTATCAGTTGCTAGTTAGAAAGCAAAAAAGTTCTTAATTGATATCTGCATATTTTAATTATTGAAATCAGCGCGATTATATATGTGAAAACATCGAAGAAAAAACAATTGTTAGTTGATTATAGATATATAATATATATAAGATAATAGATCAGTCGACATTGACGGTCATTTTATAGTGAAATAAAAAGCAAAGTTTTTTCACATAGTCTATATTTTAAATTGATGATTATTATGTTGCAGTACCATCTTGTTGTGATGGAAATACGAATCAGGATGAAAGTGGTCCTGATTGTGGTGGTCAAATATGTTACCGACGATGTAGTATCAATACTACTTGCTCTATAAACTCAGATTGTATAACTGGCAATTGTCATAAATGGTGGAAAACATGTCAAGGTATGTAGACATTACTTCTTTTTAATTTTCTCTCAACATCTTTTGAATATTGAACAAATATTGTATGTACGAGATGTTTAGACCTATTCTATGTTAGGTCTGACTTATTCATAGGAAATATTCCGACATTGTGATCTAAATTATCTCTATTATTTACATTTAAAATTTGAATCGTATTAATTAAGCGATTACACAATATGATCTCGATTGATTTCAATATTCTATTGTAGTACCATCTTGTTCTGATGGAAATAAGAATCTGGATGAAACAGGTATTGATTGCGGTGGTAGTACATGTGAAATGCGATGCGGTATCGGTTCCAGTTGTTCACAGAACTCGGATTGTGCCAATGGTAATTGTCACTACACACAAAAAACATGTCAAGGTAAATCAAAATGCTTTATTAACATTTTTCCAAGTAGAAATATCAGGTTCAGTCAGACATTTTCGCTTTTGCTATATTTTTATTATTGCCAGACGTAAAACTCACAGATTAATTGAAATTGCACTTAATTGATTAGATTCGACTTTAAATTAATAGAGTATCGTCGAATTTGTTTTTTTCAAGAAAATTCTCCGAGCTTTATGTAGTTTTTACGATTATTTTACTGGGTCAACACAAGAAAAATCTATGCACTCATATTCTATATAATACAGAACGTTTAATAAGCGTGTGAAATCTTTTTCTTTCTTCACAGCATTCTCGACATGTTGGCAAATCTAATTTAGGTTAATTCAATAAAAGAATTTTCATTTTTATAAACATGCCGATTTTGTTATTGAAAACAATAAAAATATTTTGTTAATTCGTTTCTTATCGATCTATACGTTTATTTGTTCTTATTTAAACAGAAACGAAAGATTTTCCTCGATATGATACACATATTAATGAACAATTTTCGTAGATAACAATTCATTTACTAAAAGCTTAGTTTAGGAGAAAGAATCATTGTTGCTCATTTTGCTCTATTACTTGAATAAAAAGTAAAATGTCCTTATTTTAACACAATTTATATTTTGAATTCTAAATTGATATTTAATTTTTAGCGCCATCTTGTCCCGATGGAAACAAGAATGATGGAGAATCCGATGTTGATTGTGGTGGCTCATCATGTAACCTCTTATGTAATATCGGTCAAACTTGCAATATAAACTCGGACTGTCAAAATGGAAATTGTCATCAACTACTCAAAATATGTGCAGGTAGATCAAAACCTTTCAATGTCATCCTTTATCATACAATTTTATTTTACGATTTCTATTAATATATTTCTAGCACCATCGTGTTCTGATGGAAATACGAATCAAGATGAATCTGCGATTGATTGTGGTGGCAACATATGTACAGCTCGATGTGGTTTGAATCAACCTTGTTTAACTAACTCTGATTGTGCCAATGGCAATTGCCATAATACATTGAAAACATGTCAAGGTAGATAAGAATATTTTTTTTTAATCATTCCAAATAGGAATATATAATTTTCAATCAAACTATTTTCTTCTTTATTACCAAAAAGAAACTACTGAGATACACACATCGTCTATATTCTATTCTTGAGAAAAATAAATCTGTCAATAAAACTTTCTCTAAATTTTAATTTGTACTCTAAATTTATCAATCTGTGTTTATTTTTCAGAGCCATCGTGTGATGATGGAAATAAAAATCAGCAAGAAACAGATGTAGATTGTGGCGGTAGTCCATGTACCGCTAAATGTGGTATCGGAAGTGTTTGTTCACAAAACAGTGATTGTGCCAATGGTAATTGTCATCATACAAGCATGACATGTCAAAGTAAGCAAAGACTGATGTTTCGAATTTGTTTCATCTGACAAAAATACTTGATTTACTCAAACAATCTTTGAGACTACATCAGAAAAATTCTTATTTGATACTTTTCTCTATAGTTAAAGTACTAAATATGGATACTTTTGAGATAAGCTTCATGTTTTTGTTTGTCATATTTATTAAATGAAGAGCAATGATAAAGACTTTGAAAGAATTTCTATTGAAAAAGTGTAAATCGATGTTGATTTTTAGATCCATCTTGTGACGATGGAAATATAAATGAATTAGAAGGTGATATTGATTGTGGTGGTCCTTGTATTACCAAATGTTCGATCCATAGCACTTGCTTAGTGAACGCAGATTGCGCAAATGGTAATTGTCATCATACAAGCAAGACATGTGAACGTAAGTAAACATTTATTTTAATTATATAAATATTTATTCCGTCAATAAATAACTCTCATTAAAATAATGTGAAGATTAAATACTCGACGATAAAATAATTTAGTATGAAATCTTTAGATTGTTAGTAATGAACTGTTAAAGACTCCCTAGATTGTTTTCAGATGGTCGTATCTTAAAAGATTCATTCACTTGAGCACTGAAAAATCTTCGTACATGAAGAGAATCTATTAAATTAAAAACGTTACATCAAGGATGATTTTATGAATGTATTGGATATTTGAAAACTTTCTAAAATTTTTCAGAATAGTCTATTATCCATTATTCTGAGAAGTTTGTTAATAAAATTATATTTTATGGAAACTTGAAAACTTGATTAAGTCATAGGTAACTTGTATATTTGTCTACAGAATATAGAACAACTCCTCTTTACTCATTGATACACTTTATGAATATTCTATAAATATTTCAATACGATCTTCATTACATTCAATGAAACTGTTTGTGATTAAAATCGGGAAGTTTTTAGATTTTTTGTTAAATCTATTTTTGTAGATACTTCCACAAATTATGATAATCTTATGTATGAGTATATACGGTACATTTTTCTTCTGACGTTTTGCTTAAAAAGTAATAAGATAATCGATAATCTAATTTATAGAGATGAAATACTAAATTTTTAGGCACAACTTGTGTTAAAAAATATAAATTGATGTTTATTTTTTAGTTCCATCTTGTGATGATGGAAATACAAATCAGCAAGAAACTGGTGTAGATTGCGGTGGTAGTCCATGTACCGCTAGATGTAGTATCGGAAGTGTTTGTTCACAAAACAGTGATTGTGCCAATGGTAATTGTCATCATACAAGCATGACATGTCAACGTAAGTGAAGTTTTTTTATAATTTCTCTCTTTCTATTAGAGATTACTATTGTTTTTATCTATCTCTGTTTCGTTTCAAATTTTGACAACTTTAGTTAACTTCTCCTCATCACCTAATTTAAGAAAAAAACTCATTAAAGTGAAATACAATTACTAATGACTAGATGATCGCGAGTTACCTTGAAGTCAATTCATTCTATCGATGTGAAATGTTTCTAAAAGAAAACTAATCTCTTTCGTATAACTCCTACTGAAAAAAAAAGCATGAATATTTATTTTTTAGCTTATTCTTGTGACGATGGCAATACGAATGAGGGCGAAACAGATATTGATTGTGGCGGTCCTTGTTCTACGAAATGTCCTCTTGGTGAAGCTTGTTCAGTTAATTCAGATTGTGCCAATGGTAATTGTCATCATACAAGCAAAACATGTCAAAGTAAGTGAAGATTTTTTAATCTCTAACTGTTCGTTTGACGCATTTTTATGGTACAATATACATAACACATTATTAAACATGTAAAAAAAGTATTTATTTTGCAGATCCATCTTGTAATGACGGAAATATTAATCAGGGCGAATCTTCTATTGATTGTGGTGGTCCAGTATGTGGTGCTACATGTGCTCTCGGAAATACATGCTCAAGCAACCAAGATTGTGCCAATGGTAATTGTCATCATACAAAACTCACATGCGAATGTAAGTCAATGTTTCTCTTGTGGTATAACTATTCAGTTTATTGAGATAATCTCTTTTATTTATTGAATAACAATGTCTTAGACATACTCATCTACAAAATTTCGATCTAAATAGTCAATTAATCGAAATAAATTGCCAAGATGAAATGTGCATTTCTGTTTATTTTTTAGTACCATCTTGTGATGATGGTAATAAAAATGAACAAGAAGGTGATATAGATTGTGGTGGTCCTTGTGCTGTTAAATGTGGTCTTTATTCTACCTGTTTGGTCAACACAGATTGTGCCAATGGCAATTGTCATCACACATTATTGACATGTGAACGTAAGTCAACACTTTTTCTTCAGAAGAGTCTCTCAGGATTGTGACAAAATTAACTGTAACAAATCAGTGAAGTTAACACTAAATTTAAGTCAGTTCGGTAGTAAATTCATTGAACAACATATTGGAAAACTTTTATGTGTATTTGTAGTAGAACTACGTGAGTTTTATTCGGCTGTATAGTTAGATTTTCTATCCAGATCGATCATTCGGATGATCGGGAAGATGGAATCACATTCAAATTTGATAGTTTTCTAAGATCGTCATCTAGTGCTCATAAAACAAATACTAATGAAATTTGTAACAATTAGGTTACAGCTAACGTCATTTCGTCTCTTGGATAGTCGAATCTTATAGAATTTATTAACTAGGACGTAGATTAAACTATCGTCCCAATAATTTCAAAGTAAATATGTACCTTTATTAAAATTGTAGCACTCAATAAGAGACATTTGAGCAATAATTGATCCAGAAAATTGTTTTAAGGTGTTTAACATTTTGTATATTTTAATCAATGATTTTTGTAATCATTGTTGAGATATAGAAAATTTGACGATTAAACATTGAGATATGGAAATTGTCGACACATTAGAGAACAGAGTTCCTTAAGCTCCATTTAGTAGAATAATGAAACGTTTGAAAGGATTCTTTAGTGGGTAAATATGACTGATATCGTCTACGTAATTATCTCAAATGAATCCTAACAGTTACCATAATTCTCATTCTCAACAATTTGCGATAAGGTCATTTTAACTAACGAAAGCGTTATGATGATTTACCTACTGAATTGAAATGTGTATATATCTATGATTTAATTTATGTTAAAAAATGTAAATTGATGTTTATTTTTTAGTTCCATCATGTGATGATGGAAATACAAATCAGCAAGAAACTGATGTAGATTGCGGTGGTAGTCCATGTACTGCCAGATGTAATGTTGGTGAAGCTTGTCAAAGTAACTCCGATTGTACCAATGGTAATTGTCATGCCACAGCAAAAATATGCGACAGTGAGTTTATCATGTTTCTTATTGCTTTTATTTACGAATAGAAAAACGAATAAAACTGAGTTTTGTTAGTTCCACTTTGATTGCTACTTGAAAATTTGATTCGACTGAATTAGTTTTAGAAAATTATTTGATGATCAGTTTGATTCAAATAATATATTAGTTTCATTTTAAAGTTAATAAAGAATTGAACCAAATTGTTTTAGCTTGATTCGCTTCCGATCCACTACATCCGAACAATTTCGATTCAGTTCAAATATGTAGTAGTTCTAAATGTTAAAAAGTGCTCTCATTTATTTTACATTTCTACTTCATCTTTGAGAATGATATCGAATTCTTTCATATGAAATAATAGTTAAATTAGGAATTTTCTTTTCCGTGAAATCTTAAACGACGTTTGAATATCTTTTCGAAAAATGATTTCAATTTGACCATTGCCTATATAAAAGAGACTTTTCATTTCGGAATCAATGATTTTTTATTTATAAAAAAAGAAGAAAAGTGATTAAAATCTGTAAAATTCATATTCATCTTTTAGGTCCAGAATGTAGTGATGGTAATAAAAATAATCAAGAAACCGATGTCGATTGCGGTGGTACATGCGCTGCAAAATGTGATCTCAATAAAGGTTGCTTAGTTAATGCAGATTGTAGTAATGGCAATTGTCATCATACATTGAACACATGTCAACGTAAGTTAATAGATTTTGTTTTTGTTAATCTTTTCATAATATATATTTTCAACTTCGAACTCAATACATAAAATAGACGGCAGTGAACTATAAAAATTTCATGAGGTTTATTTTTGTCAGACTCTTAGACTCTGCTGTTCTACATACCAATAAAAGATACACGACAGTATATTCATCTGAGATTTAATCTATACACGAGTTTTGTTGTGAGCAGTAGTCCGTGATAATTTCAGTTTAGGAGAATGTTTTCGTTTCATTTGTTGTAGAATATTATCATAGAAATGTATTCGATGCTTAAAATTCGAATAGAAAAGTAATAGAAGAAGAATATCTCAACTTTCGGCTACCTTTCAGTATAGGGTTATATCTGAGGACACTTTAATCAGTCCAATATCCTTCTAAAAGTATTAGTAGCTGTAGCTCTGAGCAGAAGATTCACCTAACTCAGAGTTCTTCTCGCTCAATTACTTGAGCAGCTCACACATACTGACTTGTCTATATTTATTTCATAGCTGATAGTGCTGAGGTTTGAACACAGTATATTGTGAGTACGTATCGAATAATGTAACCATTCAGTCATGGAGACGAAAAAATAATTGATAAGATATATTCATATGAAATCCACATAGTTCTTCATCTTCATAAGTTGAATAATTCGCTGTCTCATTGTCTTTCGAAGACGTCATATAATAATTGATAGTTACCTTAATAAACTAAACTAACAAGTTTTTGTCTTAACTTGAATGAAAAAACGTAAATTCTTATTCATTTTTTAGCTCCATCTTGCGATGATGGAAATAAGAATCAAGGCGAAACTGACATTGATTGCGGCGGTCCCTGTGGTGCTACTTGTATTTTGAGTGAAACGTGCTCGGTAAACGGAGATTGTGTCAACGGCAATTGTCATAAAACACTGAAGCGATGTCTAGGTAAGTAGCGATTTTTTCAAACTTCGTTTATTGTACCATCTTGAGGAGTGTGGGTGTGGTTGTGGGGGAAGAAGAGACACCTACACTCACACTTTCAAGATCTATCCTTCTTTTTAATATATGTATCGAAAAGAAGAAATGTCGTGAAGAATTTATCATTGCACTCATTCATAGAAAATGAATGTATCGAAAAAGTATATATATGTTAATTTTAGATCCATCTTGTGACGATGGCAATACGAATCACGGCGAAAGTGATGTTGATTGTGGTGGTCCTTGTCCTACACAATGTCCTCTTGGTCAAGTTTGTTCAACTAATTCAGATTGTGCCAATGGCAATTGTCATACAACATTAAAGATATGTAGTGGTACGTCACGACTTCTTGTTTGAGAAATTCATAGTTTATTGAGACAACTTTCTGTTGTTAACCGAGAAAAAAATCTTTATGATGCATTCTTATGTGTACTGAGACTTACCCAGTTTTTAAGTAGTATTAGATATTTTTCTGATAAAAAGTTTAATAAAAAAACTTCATATCGATAATATTTAGTAGAAGCCCTATGAATTTAGCGTTCTTTGCTCAGTTTTTTCTGGAAAGGCTCATAAACAAGGGGCAAAAAGCGAGACTTCATCGACTTCAAAACTTTTTTGAAGTACGATGGGAGTACACGGGAGTACGATATGAGTACAGAGAAGCACAACGGGAATACAAGGGAGTACAATGGGAGTATAGATGAAGTACACTGGGAGTATAATGAAGTACGATGGGAGTACAAAGAGAGTACTGAAGTCTCGCTTTTTCCCCCTTGAGTTTTCTCGATCGCATATTCCAAACTGAAAAGTATTTTTACTCTAATGAAAAAATTGTAAAAACGATAAACTATTAGTGAGAATCTATAAAAGCAATAGTGTTTGAACAAAAGTTATTTGAAATATGTCGAATGTCTTAGTTAGCAAAGGATTTCTCATGAAACTCTATATTAGAAAAGTTATAAATGAAGGAAAACTGAAGATAACTTTAACATGATTTTTATGTTTTTATTCTTTGTGAATAAACTTATTGATATTTTTGAGATTCTAATGACATTTGTGTATAGTTTGGGTATATTTTACAATAGTTTTTAATATTTTCCGAATGTAACATTTTGTAGAAATACTGAAATATACATAGTTTTTCTTTTTTCGATATTTTCTAAAGAATCGACTTATTTATGTCATTATTGAAACGGTTCAATAAAATAAATATTGGATCTATTTTATTTGTTACTCTGTTCTGAGAACAATATATTCATTCTCTGATAAATACTTCTTCAGATTTTTGTATTTTTTGATATTCTCAACTGAGCGGAACATCCACTTTTCCCTCTTGTTCTCAATATATTAGACAAATGAATAAATGCTCCGACATTACTCGCTATTTCACTGTATCTTTACTTTATAGTACTTCTCTTCGTTCAAAAGTACAAAACTATGCTGCTTTTTTTCACTATAATATCTCCGATTTTTATGAAATATATTTTATTGTAAAAGTTGAATTGGTTTTAATATTTTAGCTCCGTCTTGCAACGATGGCAATAAGAACCAACTAGAAACTGATGTCGATTGCGGTGGAAACTGTCCTACCTTATGTCCTCTCAATTCAGCCTGCTTAAAGAATACAGATTGTGTTAATGGCAATTGTCACACAACACTAAAGGAATGTTTACGTAAGAAGATCTTTTTTTATTTTACAAATACTCTATTTGTATTTTTGAATCGAATATAAATTGATATTGATTTTTTAGCTGAATCTTGTGATGACGGCAATAAGAATCAGCAAGAGACTGACGTTGATTGTGGTGGTAGCCCATGTTCTGCTAGATGTGCTCTCACTAAAACTTGTGTAGCGAACACAGATTGTATCAACAACAACTGTCACACCACATTACATACATGTCAAGGTAAAAATAACATTTTGTCTAATATTTTTCGTTTGATAAATATTAAATTCATTGAAACAAATTATTCTTCTTATTTGAGAGAAAAATCTAATTAAATATTTTTCTATGTATTTTCAATATTAAAATGGAATATAGTCACTTTTTATCATTGATTTCACTCAAAGAAATTCTTTAATAAAAGTATAAATTCATCTTGAAATTTTAGATCCATCTTGTAATGATGGAAATTTGAATCAATTAGAAACGGATGTTGATTGCGGTGGTACATCTTGTGGTAGTACATGTGCTATTGGGAAACAATGTTTAGTCAATACAGATTGTGCCAATGGCAACTGTCATACCACATTGAAAACTTGTCAACGTAAGTAAACGGTTTTAATAACTATTGAAATTGAAAGATATTTAATTCTCATAAGTAAAAAAAGAAATTCTTCTTTGTACTTCACTTGTTTTAAAGAAAAAGTCTTTGTTATGAGAACGTCAAATTTCGATATCTTCAATGGTACGTTTTCTTATTGTGGCTATGATCGAAAAGAAAGGAAAATAATTTTTTTCTTATATTACATCAGAGAAATGATATATTGATTATAATTTTTTAGCTCCATCCTGTAATGATGGAAACAAGAATCAAAATGAAGGTGATGTCGATTGCGGTACACCGTGTACTACCAAATGTAGTCTTGGCAGCACATGCTTAGTCAATGCAGATTGTGCAAATGGTAATTGTGATACAACACAAAAGAAATGTGTCGGTATGTCAACATATTTTACATCTTGTTTTAAACAAATGTTTACGTCATTGAGATAGTTGTCTCTTAGCCCTTGAATGAAATTCGATAGATATTTTTCTTTTCATATTGTCATTGATCTCTGATTTGATTGTTTTTTTGTAATTTTTTCTTCTTTCCTTTTCATGAGAAACTATTCTTTTCTTCTCAATCTTACGTTTTCTATTATAAAACTGATCAACTGTGACAATAATTTACATAAATATTGGCAACTAACTAGTATACTTGCCTATTCTTCTTATGAGAGAATGTTTTCAATTGTCAAATCACTTTTGAGTTCACACTCTGTACATAAGGTAACAACTACTAATATATGAAACATCTCAAAAGAGTCACTTCTCTTTCAATGGAAGTTAGAATAACTTTTATTGAAAACGTATAAAATTATGATTATTTTCTAGACCCATCTTGTTTTGATGGAAACAAAAATCAAGCAGAAACTGACATTGATTGTGCTGGCCCTTGTGTTCTTAAATGTGGTCTTGGTCAAAGCTGTTCACAGAATTCAGATTGTAGCAACAGTAACTGTCATACAACATTACACACATGTCAAAGTAAGTTAACACTTTTTTCCCTTTTCTTATTCTTGGAATAGTCACTTTACGAACAGATTGTTACATTCATTATAAAGAAAAATGTTCTCATATACACGTATATCTACACTGTATACGAATAGTTGAGATAACTCGTAATTTCAATAATCTTCTATCATTATTTTACCTAATCTAGATGTGTTTATTTCTGTAGCATGACTACTATTATAAATCTGTAAATTCATCTTAAAATTTTAGATCCATCTTGTAATGATGGAAATTTAAATCAATTAGAAAGTGATGTTGATTGTGGTGGTACATCATGTGGTAGTACATGTGCTATTGGGAAACAATGTTTAGTCAATACAGATTGTGCCAACGGCAATTGTGATCACACATCGAAAACTTGTCAAGGTACGTAGTAATATTATTCGTGTCCTTCCATTGTATAAATACCAATTCATCTCTCATATTTGTCAGTTCACAATTAACACGCAATTTCTGAGACATCCAGATACAAAATGACAATGAATATAGTCAGATATCTCACTATACTCAATTTCATTTTGTATCTGATTGTCCCTGTAAAAATGAGATGTATGTCCCAAATAATTTCACTTATAGAAATTTCCATTCTAAATAATCTAGATACACCTTTTTCAACGTATCTCTCTCTGTATAAACCGCAGTAATAATTTATTTGTTGAAGTTTACCTTAATTTCTTTCTACACCAGACGAATTTAGAAAGTCTATAATATGATATTTATTTTCCAGCTCCATCTTGTACTGATGGAAACAAGAATCAGAATGAAGGTGATATAGATTGCGGTACACCATGCACTACCAAATGTAGTCTTGGCAGCACATGTTTAGTCAATGCAGATTGTGCTAATGGCAATTGTGATCACACATCGAAAACTTGCCAAGGTAAATAGTAGTTATTTTTTGTTGTTTTCTATTTTATAGATATTGAAGTGTCTGTGATCGTTAAACATTTCTAAGGAAAATAAAATTTTTTGTATTTTGCTTTTTTTATACTGTGAATTGTCAGAAGTAAATACATGTGGAGAAAAAAAACTTCTTCATTGTAGAAGATTTTTTCTGCATAATATAGAATTGTAGGGTTTTTATGGTAAGTAATAAGTTCTCGAATGATTTACTGACTGAGTCGTACTGTGAACTATTTGATTATCAATTTTATTTGGAAATATGTTTAATGTTGCTTATCTTTTTAGCGCCATCGTGTACTGATGGTAATCAGAATGAAGGAGAAATTGATATTGACTGTTCTGGTCCTTGTGCTACAAAATGTGGTCTCAATCAAATTTGTGCGGCTAACTCGGATTGTGCTAACGGCAACTGTGATACAACATTAAAGAAATGCGTTGGTAAGTGGAGTGTCTTCTAGATTTGTTTTATTGTAGAAATATTTAGTTAGATAGGATACTTCTATAATATTTAGTAATAGATCGTTTCTGAGATATATTTTTCTCTCTAATGAATGTCTAACAAAATGAAATATTGGTGAATCGACTGGATTTGTACCATTTTTGTTGAGGAAAATTCTTTTGTGTTTGTTTTCTTGTTGTAGATGAGTCATCGATAGAAAACTATATTGACCGAAAAACATCACCATATACAATTCCAATGACGGTAATCGAAAAGATACTGTCTAGAAATATCTTTAGAGGATGATTCAATTTATCAACTGTTTTTGAGCTTATATTGCCTTCGTAAGCAGAGGACCACTAGACTAGCATAATCACTAAATGATTCGTTTATATATTGAGATACGATCAACATATTAACATCTCTAACAGCAGTGGTGTTCTTAAATTTTTAGAAAAACGCAGATTTTAAAGAATTCATGTATGATTCCGGCATTGAGAAATATTAATATACCGCTCATATTTCAATATGTAAAGGAATCATTTAGTGATTATGCTAGTCTAGTGGTCCTCTGCTTACGAAGGCAATATAAGCTCAAAAACAGTTGATAAATTGAATCATCCTCTAAAGATATTTCTAGACAGTATCTTTTCGATTACCGTCATTGGAATTGTATATGATGATTTTTTCGATCAATATAGTTTTGTATCGATAACCCGTCTAACTAGGAGAAAAAAGACACGAAAATATTTTTTTCAATATTTTTTTTGCGGGACTCTATTATGCTTGGCTTTTTATTGTCTTTTTCATTGATGATTCTATCGATGTATTAGTGTTGAAGAAATGTAAAATCATGCTCTTCTTTTAGCTCCATCTTGCACTGATGGAAATAAGAACCAAAATGAAGGTGATGTTGATTGTGGCGGTTCTTGTTCAACCAAATGTGGCCTCTCTCAAAGTTGCTCAGTAAATACAGATTGTGCTAATGGTAATTGTCATACAACTGCGAAGACGTGTCAAGGTACGTAGTCATATTATTAACGTCTTTTCATCATATAAATATCACTTCATTTCTATTATACTTCCCAGTTGATAATCAAGAAGTAATCTCTAATACATTGTTTTTCAAGACTTTCTCTGTGAAAATGAGGTGTATACACCAAATAATTTCACTTATAGAAATTTTTGCTCTGAATAATTTGGATACACCTTTTTCAAAGTATCTCTCTGTATAAGCCGCAGTAATAATTTATTTGTTGAAGTTTACCTTAATTTCTTTCTACACCAGACGGATTTAAAAGGTCTATAATATGATATTTATTTTCTAGCTCCATCTTGTGCTGATGGAAATAAGAATGAGGGCGAAGGTGATATCGATTGTGGTGGTCCTTGTTCAACCAAATGTGGCCTCACTCAGACGTGCGCAACAAATGCAGATTGTGCTAATGGCAATTGTCATACAACACAGAAGACTTGTCAAGGTAAATAATAGTTATTTTTTGTTTCTTTCTATTTCACAAGTAACGCTTGTTTGTGAATTCGTCCAGGTCTTTCTCGTAGACGTGTCATCTCTCCACTATCTATAATCAATTGAAAAGCTCGAATTCTGTTGATTCTCGTTACTCCTGACCCTCCTCAAATAATTTGTCTCATAAAATAGAGCTCACATCCGTCTTTTTCAGAGATGTACAAATCATCTTCAAATGCTTCTTAAACTTTTCTTCACGATAAGTTGCGACTTTAATTCAAAGCTAATGCAGTTCAAAAATGTGTGAACTACAAAATGATGTGTTATGGTTTCGGTTTATCTCTATGAGAGCTGCTGTTATACTTTCCAAAATACCATGATTTGGCGAAGATGATTTCGTTCAAGCAGGTCAAGTCATGGCATTCTGGAATGTATAATAAAAGATCTGATAGAGATAAACTGTAACTATAGCATATCATTTTATAGTCCTCACATTTCTGAACTGCCTTAACTTTGAATTACGAAATACCCCCAAAAAATTCTTTTTTTGAAATCTCGATTTCTATAAGTTCTTATCACTCTTCCCCTTCAACACGCATCTTCATTCACACGCTCAAATGGTGGCAGATTCCAACTTTTCAGATTAACTTGTTCTTGCATTATTTTTCGACCAATCAGCACGTGCAGACACACAAGCAAGCAAACGTTTTATGTTTACTAGACTCTTCTCTATGACAACGATACTGTAAATGTCAAAAGTAAATGTATGTGGAGAGAAAACTTGTTCATTATAAAAATTTTACTACATCCACACCCTATTTGGAAATATGTTTAATGTTGCTTATCTTTTTAGCGCCATCTTGTACGGATGGTAATCAGAATGAAGGAGAAATTGATATTGACTGTTCTGGTCCTTGTGCTACAAAATGTAATCTCAATCAAATTTGTGCGGCTAACTCAGATTGTGCTAACGGCAACTGTGATACAACATTAAAGAAATGCGTTGGTAAGTGGAGTGTCTTCAAGATTTGTTTTATTGTAGACATATTCTCTGCGATGACGTGACTTGGTATTGCTTACTGATAGATATTTTCTAAAATACTTTTTTTATACTGTTCATCTACACAAGAATGAGATATTTGCAAAGGGGGAAAAGCGAGACTTCTGGAGTGCGTCCCTCACTAGTGCTTTTCGGTACATCAATTTGAATTAAGAGAGATATATATTTTCTAACGTGAATAATTAGTGTGTATTTCGATTGAGATATCAGTGTTCTTTGAGAATCCACAGATAATATCGTTCCGTATAGTGTATTGGAATATTAGCAGATATTTAGTAAACCATTGGAACAACATATCTATGGCACAATTTTTGAATTTGGAACAGATTAGACACAGTAGCTGCTAAGTTTTGAAACAGGAGTAATAAAAAGAAGAACCTTTTTTTGTGTAAACAAGGAAAAATATTAACATAGTTCACTTTCATGAAAAATTATATATCCATCATCATTTTTTAGTTCCATCTTGCACTGATGGAAATAAGAACCAAAATGAAGGTGATATTGATTGTGGTGGTTCCTGTACAGTTAAATGTGCTCTCTCTCAAAGTTGCTCAGTAAATACAGATTGTGCTAATGGTAATTGTCATACAACTGCGAAGACGTGTCAAAGTAAGTGAAGAGTTTTTAATATTTTCTCCTATTAGAAATTAGTAGTTTATCCATATAACTTATTGCTGTTAACGGAGAAAAAATATTTTAAGATAAATTCTTGTATATACTGTACATGTCGTTATCAAATATCTCTATCTAATACTATCCATTATGGTTAGACTATCTCCATCTATCCGTCAAATACAAAAAAACACATCGTCAACTAGAAAATATATTCGAAACTATGAAAAGGGTTACCGTAGAAATACTTATATAAATTATTTAAATATGTACCGTTTTTTTTCGAAATATAACTATTGAAGAGTTTTAAAATTCAATTTTCGATTGTCTGAATCAAGAAACTTCAATATATCAGATTTAGAACATTTACTTGTATGAACAAAAACCATGATGACTTCTTCTTTTTTTAAGAGAACACTTACTGTTTGTCTTTAGTTAAGTGACTTACAGTTTGAAAGAATATTTTTCAAAAAAATACATTCTTAACAAAAAGTATATTACCGAACCTTCTTTGTCGTTTTCAAGATTTGCTGATAAACCCTTTTTTAGAGTGTATTATGAAAACTGATTGAGGATATTATTCGAAAAATACTCAATTAACTTAGGCCATACCAAAGATCTTTACGAAGCTATAGGAAATTTTCTTTTCATATAAACACACAGGAAAAACAAACCTTTATATTTCTATACTGTATGGTTATTATTCATCTAATATAATAATTAGAAATCTCGATGAAAACTTAACTAATGGATGAGATAGATCAATGCCTACACTTTCTATATTAACTTTTAATCACTTAACACATTCTATTAAAAAGCACAAGATGCACTATGAGAAGCTCTACAATTTCTAACTAGTCGTTTATTTTATAGATTTAATAAGAAAAAAGGAATTTCTCTTTGTATAAAGATAAATGATTATTTTTTTCAAAGCTGAACAAATTGGTTGCATAGGATTTGACCTTTTTATAACTAACAAGTAGATAATTAAAATAAACTTTACTTTGTAGGTTGTAGATTATTTCACACTATCTCTTGTGAGATATTTCATCTTTAAATAGAATGTATTAAGTGCAATTGAAATATTTAATTTACATGATGCGTTAGTGAAATTTTCATCGAGATCTTTTTATTATAATACTGAATAACTAATGATCAAATAGTGTAGAAATGTAGACCTTTGTTTTTCTTATGAGTTTATATGAAAGGAAAATTTCATCAACCTTTCTATAGCAAATTTGCTGACCACCGTAAAGATTTTTCGTATGGCCTAAGTATCTATTTTTGTGCTTCAGCAACTCTTTTATTTACTCATTTTCACAAAATAAATCTAATCAACTTCATAGAAATACTGGAATTGTGTCGACATTTACTCATATTTCTCATGATTTACCAGTAACTACATACATTCAATTACGTATTAAAACTTTTTTTATATTTATCTTCCCTGAGATTTTGTATAAACACGAAATTATACTTTTTTCCTACTCTGTTGACGACTAATAAAAGACAAGATTATTTTCGTAACGAAGTCAAGCGACAATTTCAATGATATTTCTTCTATTACAAAATATAAATTTATCTTTTTTTCTTTAGATCCCTCGTGTAGTGATGGTAATCAAAACGAAGGAGAGACCG